TAATTAAAAGGTGTTATTTACAAATAAGGAAAGAAAACCAACTTTGAAATGCTAACAAAGAACAAACTTTGAAATGCTAAGACAGAACAAATTAAACTAAATATATGTTTTCTTATCAAAAAAGTATAAACACGAGATAAACTAAAAAAAAACTAGGGAAAACTGCCAGATGTACAACTTGTTGTAAAAAATGTTTTTCAATCTACCACATTTCGAAATCTCTTTTATTGAGTACCACAATGGCAAATGAGTAAATACAAAACTGATCGAATTACCTCTGACATGGTTAAACGAGGAAAATATAGACTATTTTGTAGGACTAGACGCATTGGATTTGACGAGAGATTTTTGAGAGACAGCATTTAATGTTCTTGTAATTATGACACAAAATAATAATTATCTATCACATAATTTAATCGAAGAATCTAATGCACTGATTTAAGTACCATTAAGTAGAAGAAAGAGAGAGAAACATAATATTTCTTGGTCTGAGAGTTTGTAGAACTTGAAGATCGAGAATAGGAGAAATTTAAGGTAAGAGATATTATTTGTTAATGTAATTGAATTTAATATTGTTGGCATATTTATTGATAAAGATTGTGTTGGTCGTTACTTTAATGTAGTTCTCATGGACAAGAATCAATGGAGGCGGCAGTACTGGTGATTGTGGTAGAGTGGGAATGCAAGGATAACGGAGATTGGCATTTTCGTATTTCGAAGGACGTCTTGTTAAGTGTAACACCCGCGAACCAATTATGTATTTTTGGTTCGGGTCTCGATCGATACCAGCTCGATTTGAACTAGCGGATTAAGTTTTTAATCGCTCGGTTAGGCGGGTTTTGACTAGAAACCCGAGTTGTTTTGGTTGAAAACCGTGTTGCTGTGTTATATATATTTAGTAGTCAAAAAGGGTTATAAAAGTCAAAAGGGGGGGGGGACCCTTGTTTTAGGGACCCTTGTTTTGTGGGAAAAGTTGAGTCATTAAGTGAGCAGCAGAGTTG